AACGAAAAGGATTAAAATTAAAGTGACATACAAATACTTGGTGTGCCCAATCTGAAATAAAAATTTCCAAAGGATTATCAGAAGCAAACACATATTATTACTGTAATTGGTCTTAGTTTTGCCGTCAAATAAACGTCAGAAAATGACGTCCCGTGGACATATCGACGTCATTTTTGGGTCACATAAAACCTAACTTAGGATGTCTAATTGGTCATTTTGTGACCAAAATTTACTGTTATTGTGACATCAGTTTGCTACTTGGTTGGATTATTACATGACTGTAACAATTATATAACATTTTAATAACATGTTATATTCATGTTATATAACTGCAATTTTGTATGAGTGGGAAATTACAACTAACCAAAGACGTAATTTTGAAGACGTCCTATGATCGTCCAAATAAAGTCTTTTTGTAACTAATATTGGGATTATAGTTCATTTGCTTACCGCTATGCGGCGCGCTATTCACTATCTATACCCGTATTTAAATTTTTGTCATGAGTGTATATAAAGCCTGCAAAATGCGGCTAATAACATTGTAATTATTTTTATCAGTTCAATTTCTGATACGATTCCCGTACCAGAAAATTCAGATATTAAACTGATTTTTGGAAAGTCGGACAAATAATATCCGATTTTAATTTATTATTCAGACAATTTCTATCTGAATAAGTGAAAATCGTTTGTTATTATCTGCTTAAAACGGAATAGCTAGCTCAGAATTATATAATTCGTTTGCAAAAGGTGTTGCATGTCTCATTATATACTCTTCTCGAGTTATAGCTTGAAAACCAATATTATCAGGGACAAATCTGTTTACTAAAGACTGCCGAACTTTGTGACTTGAACGGCATACATTTTTTTTTTTGGAACATTTGGCAAGACTACACATAGACTATTGTTACACGTCACCCTTAGGGCGCGTTCCACTTAACGATCGCAATGCTCGCGAGCATCATCTGTCTTTGTTTAACTTTCGCGAACAACAAGGATGAAATGATACCGTGAGCGTTGCGATCGTTAAATGGAACGCGCCTTTGATTCGGGCTTTAGGCCACGTTTGAAAACGCCACCCGTGTGCACATGAGCATCGTTCTATCTTTGTTCAACTTTCAGACAACGTTCGTATGCACACCGGTGGTGTTTTCGAACGTAGCCTAAATGTAGTCATATAGTTACTCACGTTCGCTGATTTCAATAGATAAGGGCATTTTGAAAGGCTCCTGAGAAACCAACAAATCTGCTACCGGAGGTTCACAACTCGATATTTCCATGGGCGAAAACGACATGCTGATATCTGTGCCAATGTCTGGAACTGGTAAAGGAACATGTACGGTATCTGTAATATAAATAAAAGAAATGTATGTATGTATCGATTATTTACATTCTATTATTTTTTTATCAACAATGTAATTAATACTTTTTGTTTCAGAAAACTCACCGACCAAGGTACTGATTATTTTAATTGATGGTTTCATCATATTAGAGGATTAGACAGAGACATTGCATATTTGCTTTGCATATTCATGCAGCGGCTCACAATTTCCTGTCAGAACGTCACCGAATTTGTGGGCACGGCTTGCTTTTTAAGTTGCGGACGCTTGTATGTGATCTTTAATAAAAAATACATGAAAATACATATCAGAACTCTTTTGAAACCGATATGAAATTTTTTCATTTTACTCACCCGTGCAATTACTTGATCATTTGCGTCAAGCTTAATCCACTCACGGGAAATATCTTTTTCCTCAAAATGTTTGTCACATATAACGTCCGTCTGGCGCAACTTGACTATACCTGGGATAGCCTCTTCCCATTTCTTCCATATAACCGGGTCTTTCGGTACGCCAAATAAAGACCGCTTTATTTGTTCCGTTCTGCTGCCGGTTCTACAATACGGTACTGCGCACCACCTTGGCATTTTTCAAAGTAATCCCTTACGAAAATCACACGCGTGTTTAAAACGGCTCTCGGGGTTTCCAAGTTTTTTTTTGGGGTTTCAGGTAGGTTACGGTTATCTGGGAAAAGTTATCACAGCGACGAATAGTGGCTGTGTTAGGAACTAAATATTTCCTCAACAAGCGACCATACCCCCACCACTGAAATTGCGGCCAGTTTCAAGATCTGTATATAAGACCGTGGCGCAGACACAGGATCAGCGCACATGGTTTTATAATCATAGTAGCCTAATAATTAACTACCAAACGTTGTAATTAGACTACCAATCACCACCAAACGATTGTCTTCCAATTAAGACCAATTTGAACAAAATTGGTTGGTAAATAATATATTTGTTCGGCTAACTTTACAGCTTCCAGTTAGCCATCCCCACTACCTAACCGCACATGGTCTTTTTTACTTTTTGGATAAATTATGGATCACCAAAGGTTGTAAATAAATGATTTGTGACCACCTAACGATTCTGCATCGAATAAGGCCTGATTTAATCGATTAGACTAAAAATTAAAAATGTCCGGCTAACTTTACACCAATATTTTAATTATTTAATTTAAAAAAAACGATTGACCACCAAACGTTTTAATTAAGCTACCAATCATCACCAAACGACCACCAAACGATTAGATAATTTTAATTATTAAAAAATTAAAATGGTCCGGCTAACTTTACGGAGCTGATTTGTGACCACCTAACGATTCTGCATCGAATAAGGCCTGATTTAATCGATTAGACTAAAAATTAAAAATGTTCGGCTAACTTTATACCAATATTTTAATTATTTAATTTTAAAAAAACGATTGACCACCAAACGTTTTAATTAGGCTACTAATCATCACCAAACGACCACCAAACGATTAGATAATTTTAATTATTAAAAATGCGCACTATAATTATAAAATAAACTTATTTCGCACGTAATTAAAAAATTTATTAATTTACAAATGTAACATTGGTATATTTGTAAATCACAAACGATTTCTTGTCGATTACAGTTATCAGTGATCATAAAATCTGTTTATTACTAAAAAGTATCGGCTGACATTATGACTACACTAAAATTGTTAATTACAAAAAACCTAATTTGTCACAAACGTTAAAAACAGACTCGCAATCAATCACAAACGATTTACAAACGAAATACACTCAGAAAAGTTAAAAATAATCATATTTAATAATATCTTCCGGCTAGCTTTATGTAGGTCTCTATTCGCGATGTTACTGCTCGCCATAGACTGATAGAGATAGACTGCGCGTCCCTGTTGAAAGACTGTCTTAAACATTAGAAAGAGAGAGCGATAGTGGTCGGATCTCTTTCTCTCTCGCACAGTTGAAGGAGAGGGGATATCGCGGCTGGCGGAGAATAGAGTCCTGTGTAATCAGGGCCGCGTTCGAAAACATCACTCGTGTGCACACGAGCGTCGTTCTATCTTTGTTCAATTTTCAGTAAATAACAAAGATAGAACGACACTCGGTGCACATGGGTGACGTTCTCGAACGCAGCCCAGAGAAGCGACAATGGCGTTCTGCTTGCTGATTGGCTGACCGCCACGGACCCGTTCCACTTAACGACCGCAACGCTTACGGTATTATTTCATCTTTGTTGTTGACCGAAAGTTAAACAAAGACAGATAATGCTCGCGAGCGTTGCGTGGAACTCGTTAAGTGGAACGCGCCCTATGTTGGCGGTTAGTTTGCACGTAGTGAATCCTACATGCAAACTAATTGCAACCAGCGTACCGTAAGTGAGAAAAAAGTATATTTGTAATGTTATTTTAAAAAAAACATTTTAAATATCTCTGAGACATTTTTAAGGCATTTTAGATTACAAATGGACACCCTGCCGAAAATGGTCGATTAAAACCGATTAAAACATAATCGGTTTTAATCCGTTTTAATCGGTTTTAATCTGTTCAATCCGCGCCCGGAATAAAAAGTAATCGATTTTAATTCCGAACAAACTATAATCGGTTTTAATATTGTTCATAATGGCATTATGAACAAAAGCATTGTAATCCTAGTGTTAAACTTTAACGGTTCCGGCATAAATTAACAGTTACGGCCTGCATAAACCAGCCTTCATTCTATTTTTGTTGTTCACTGGTATTAAAAGAAGATAGAATGATACTTGTGTCGATTTGAGTCACTAAATGGAAAGCACCCAGTATATCGTGTATAAACTAGGCCTATGTGAACTATATATTCTTTTATTCTCTCTTTCTCACATTCATACAGTATCTTGCGCGGTATTGCGCGATGTGATTTCCAATTTAGGAAATCTTTTCGTTTCTGTCTAGTATGCTCACGAAACGACCGAGATCAAACCTTGTGCAAACGCTCAAGAGTAATGCCAAAATAATTTTTATATTGGAGGGTGTATTGTTTCTGGGATCATACGGACTCTGGCGTTATATGAATACTTCGCAAGGTGAATTGTTCGTTCTACTCCACAAGATTTAAAATTTGTAGGTTACTCCGCTTTGCGATATATCAAATTATAATTATTTTGATTGATGTAAAAAATATATATATGTTTTACATTATATAGAAAAAAAAATATATATATATAATATCATATAATATATAATACATACACACACACACACATATATATATATATATATATATATCAAATAAAGATTTTTCTTTCGCTTTAAGTTGCATCGGTGTAGCAATCCAATCTGTGAATGATGCCATGAGGGATAATTTTCTTATTTTTAAAGAATCTCTCATTTCTTTCTTATCCCAAATAAGAATAATTAAATTAGTACATTAATTTCTCTAAAATCTGCAACACAAAGATTTCAGATATTACATGCATCAACACTTTCCACATATATTAGAGAGCTATTACTTTGTTGGAGAAAAATTATCTGGCAGCGATCAATTGAGAAAATTTGATTACGCAACTTGGATAGAAGAATGCAATGAGCATTAAACCTTCATGGCGTTCCTGAAGTTTGCAACATCAATAGTTCTTGGTGGAGGTATAGGATACAGTTTGCTTCAAATTGTTTCACCCAATGAATCAGAAATTATAAAGGTAATTGAAAAAAATTTATATAATCACATAATTATTGAGATTAATTACAAAGTATAATTACCAAAACAATCACTGTGATAGATGTTCTTATATTATTTTCATATACAAGTTGGTATAATACTTTTTATTAATTATATAAATCTATATTATATAAAAATATATTTAAAGTTTTTCGAAATTTATATAGACACATATATATGTTATATGTTTTAAAGTAACAATAGAATTTTTTTTAATTGAGAAATTTTAGGCCAATATAAAACTTTCAAATACTGATGTTTGTATGATACAATACAATACATCATTTCCAGGAATAATAAAATACACTTTTTGTAATAAAATTTCGATTTTTATCAAATCTTTTTTAGCCAAAACTATAAATAATGTTTTCTAAGAATTGTCAATATAATTAGGTGATCATTAAATTATTTTAGTCAGCAAACTTTTCAATGATGAGACATCAACCCATCCATAATCAATAGGAAATTTTTTACTATCTTTTAAGTCAGTATCTGAAAATATAAAAACATTCAAAAATTAATCTGATGGAATATTTCAATGCTTTAATTCATTTAGACAATTTTGTTAGAATGTACGAGATTTAGATTCAGATTCATCATTCATAAAGTTGTTACGATTTCAATTAAGATTAAATAAGATTATGCTCATCATTGTGACGTATCAATTACATAATTATATTTGTTTATATTGTGGATTATATTGTGATTGTCATTAATTAATGTTTTGTTTACCTTACACATAATATTAGAAGTGATTTATTTCAAAGATGCTTCACATAAAATAGTAAAAAGAAATCTTGAAACTGGCCACATATAGTTTTATTAACTAATAAAATAATTTCTGTTTTTGCAACAACATATGATTTCATAATTATATTAACAGATTCTTGAAATATATATATATATA